TCTCTCTCTCTCTCTCTCTCTCTCTCTCTCTCTCTCTCTCTCTCTCTCTGTGTGTGTGTGTGTGTGTGTGTGTGAATGCACTGCATCTACCGCCCCTAAATCAACAAATTGTTGAACACTCCTCTAATCATTAATGATCTTTTTTGTTTCCCCTTTTTTTTCTTTCTTTCTTTCTTTCTTGAGCGACGACCTGATACTGCAGGAGGATTCCCTGACTGCAATCGCAGGTTCGGAGACCTTGAATACAAAACCAGGAACAGCTTCTAGTAAACCAGGAACAGCTTCTAGCAAATCAGGAACAGGTTCTAGCAAACCAGGAACGGCCCACCCCTGTGACTCCGATGTACACAAACAACACTTACCCACTGTTGACGAACAAATGCAAAAAACTGTAAAAACATCAATAGATGTATCTAATAGACTAGTAAACTTTGCTGACGGCTGCCGGCATCAGCGGCGGTCTTGCTACAACAACGCACTGAGGACCGTACAGCCATTGTCCGATCACTGTGGCAAGGAAAGCGCCGCCAAACTCTGCCTCTGAAGTTACACCGATCAGAGAGACGCCTTGTCCTGCTGCTCCAAACCCTGTTTTCGATGGTACCAGCCAACCCTTCGCATCGGGACTTCCCCTGCCCGCCATCACTGCATACGCCGGCACTCCCGGAAGCATGCCAACAACCTGATAATTGATTTTTTCCCACCGAAGCAGTATCACGAAATACCAGCAGGCACACGCACACACACACACACGCGCACACACACACACACACACACACACACACACACACACACACACAGAGAGAGAGAGAGAGAGAGAGAGAGAGAGCAGCAAAAATTATACGCTGTCCAGTAGCCATTCTAATGACCAGAAAAAAGCTTTGACAAATGCAAAATGTCTTTCTCGTAATTCCATGGCTTCTCAAATGAGAAATTTTATTCAAATAAAATTATAAAATTCTAAATGCATATGTTCATCTGTAAATTGAACTAAATTCTACGCACAAATTACCATGAGGGGGCCCGCATGGACTTTTATTTTTTCCTTTTTTTCCCTTATAACGAGCTCCACCAAATATTTTTTTTTTTCCCCTTATGAGGAGCTCCACCAAAATAACAAACACTACTCGTTGTGGCAAAAGAAATCAGCCTGCCAAAAGAGCCCCATGTAAATTTGGGCCTGTTGGGTCCATGCTCAATCTATTCAGGGCCCTGTCTCGTCGGCCTGACCTCGTCTGGGAAAACGGCTAGGGCCCTGTCTGTCGCATCCCAGCCGTTTTCCTCCGACTTGCGGCCACATGCATGCCCCGTCGGAGGAAAACTTGCGGCCACATGCACGCCATGTCGGAGGAAAACGGCTGGGATGCGGCCTTGCCTCGTCGGCCTGACGTCCAGTTGGCTATGGGTACGCTAAACTTTCCCACGTTTCCACCTACAGTGTGGCAAACATCATGCTTTGCAATTTGAAAACTCTCTGCGAAGGAACCGCGAGAGTATCATTTCGAGCCGTGTGCGTGGACGAAGCAACCGTGAGGTCGAAAATAACCATACATGCAAGCCCATGTCGTGCAGAAAATTCCGCACGTTTGGTGCATGAGCAGCCCCACACGGTGCGGCGCACAGGGGGAAATATTCACTCAAAAAATAAAAGGAGTCGCATGGCCGGGTCAATGGTCACTGCGTCCCCTTTCAAGATTTGTTGTGGAATGGGGAAAAAAAAAAAAAAAAAAAAAATTGTGGGAGGGTAATGCCGCTAGCTAAAGGTCAAGACTGATGTTCCTTAGGTGTTGCACTCTTCTGTATCTACAAAAACAGCAAAAAAAGAACCATAAAAAAGGGAAACTGCCGCTGGTACGGCGCACGAGCAGGTGCCGCACCGCACACCAGACGGTACGGCGCACAGTGCGGTTGCAAGTATGAAAATGACAAACAAGAAGAGAAAACAATGAAAAAAGGAAACGGAATGTGACTGACGTTCAAAAACCGCTGCGCTGTCCTTCGGCTCACCCGTTCAATTCGCCACGATACAGAAACGAAGGGCGCACTAATTAGCATGGGCCCTGCGCATTCACGGATATGACACACACATAAATGCAGAAATGGTACAGTTGAAGAGAGGGAGGGGGAGGGGGGGGGAGGACAGGGACCGCCTAGGCTACTTGCCTCGCCCGGGCGAGCATCCTGGGCAAAGTTGCCCGGAGGTCACCCCGGCGGGGCACCCTGCGCAGGTTAAAATCAACCACTTTTTTAAAGTTTTTTTTCCCTTTTTTCTTTTTTTTGCGGTTAGGGGTTTTCTGTGCCTGCCCAGCAGAGCTCAAATCCGGGCCCCTTTCTCTTTTAGAGTGTTTGGTTTCCAAAGTGCTTAAAGGAGGCTGCCTTGGTCTGATTCTGTTGTTTTCTTTTTTTAATAACAGTTTTTATAAAAACAAATTCCCGCCTTTTTTTGCTTGAGGAATTCTGATATGACCCTCCGCCAAAAGTCGTTTGCATTGCAATTGCAGCAATTCTACACAAACAATTTTTTTTCCTGCTTTTTTTTTTTTTTTTTTTTTTTTTTGGGTGTGTGCGCTGTGGCTGCCCGGAACCATGCCCGGGGCTCATGCCCAGGTGTGTGTCCGCAAGTTGAAAGCCCAGGGCGTCCGGCAAAGCAGCCTAGAAAAAAAGACTCCCACCCAAAAAAAAAAAAAAAAAAAAATTGCATTACCATCTTCGTTCCTATCAGGATGCACCTGGAGCATGCAAGACACAACTGCAGTGCCACCAAGCACCTGGTCATCGACACTGTCCAGGTACATTTGCGGCCATCGCCGTTGGGTTACTTCAAAGTTCCCCATGAGGAAGTTTTTCGTGTTGCCCCACAGAAGCACCTGGTCGTCGGCACTGTGCAGGTACATTCATGGCAGGCAGTCCAGAAGTCAAGGAAAGAAAATGCGATGTTTTGCAAATAGAACCACAGTGAAAGCTACAATGAAGTCCCAAAATGCAAACTTAAGAAGAAGAGGAAAATTAAACAACGAGGGCAGTCGTCCTTCGCGACATGAGTTAAAACTGCAATGATACAGAGAAGGTGAGCATGGCCCCCGCTCAACGATGACACCCATAACTGGACAAATGGTCCCACAACGACAACGACAACGACGGCAACAATGACAACGACGACGACAATGACAACGACGACGACAACGACGAAGACGACGTCCAACGACAATGACGACAACAACGAGGACTGCGCTCACCATCTCAAGGATGTCATGCCCAATGCCTGGGGAAGCGTTCACTACCACTGCCTTTAGTGACTTCAAACCTGCAACCTGCCCATCACAAGCAAATTTGATATATTTAATATTTTTATTATATTGATCATATCCGTTCCACAAGGTCGTATAATACCGTCATATATAATTCGCGAATCCGAATCGACAAAGCACAAAGTTCCACAAACCGATCGAATAATTCAGAAAATGCCAAAGAAACAATGACAGTTACCGACGTCATGAATGGATCAGAGGTTTTTTAACCAATTTGTTGTACTTCGCCACAAAAATTTAAAACTTTCATCATGTACGAGCGCATTTTTTCAACAGTTTGAAACACAACAGTTCTCAACAGTTTGAAACACAAAAAACTTTCAGCATTTATCACTCAAAGCTGAATGGTCGTCGTCGCCACAGAGTCAATCAATGCAAAAAAACACAATAACAAATAAACAGCAGCAACCAAAAAAAGGGTAGACAAGTGTGACAATGTGGTGAGTACGGTTAGAACATAGAGAGGAGCAAACGGCAGTACATTCTTCTATAATAATAAATAAATCAGCCCCTTCGCTGCATCGACTGTAGGTATATAGTCCTTTACCTTTGCTACTCCCATCTTCCGCATTACGAGGCATGTTTGCTATTCTGTACGAACTGCCTGTGCTATCGTAGGTGTCTGCACATGTACACTACGCACCTGTGTTTCTCTCTGCCCCTCTAAACCTAGGTGAGTGAGATGCAACGACAGAGCGTCACGTTGCATGGCCCCCTCCTTTTGTTGTGTGCAACGCAACAAAAGAACAGTCCCGCCCATGAACGACCGTGTTCGACACGGCAATTCCAGTGCGAGCAAAAGAGGGAATGGTCGTGTATTGGACACACGACCATTCAGACTCTCTCCTGCTGCAATTGTCGTGTGTGTTCAACACGACGATTCCAATACACGCTCGAGCACGAATGGTCCGTGTTGTACCTGTCTATTGCTGTCTTCCTGTCCGTTCTCATCTCCTTCCCTCTCCTCTCTTCCATCCATAAGTCCCCATTTCACCGTCCATCCCTTCAACCCTTCACCCCTCCATCAGTTTTTCCATCCATCCATCCATTCATCCATCCATCCATTTATCCATCCATCAGTCCATCAAGCTCTTCATCAACCCACCCATCCATGCATCCATCCATTCATCAATCCATCAATCCATCAATCCATCCACCGATTCATCAACCCATCCATCCATCCATCCATCCATCAACCCATCCATCCATGCATCAATCCATCCACCAATTCATCAACCCATCCATACATCCATCCATCAACCCATCCATGCATCAACCCATCCATCCATCCATCCATCCATCAATCCATTCACCAATTCATCAACCCATCCATCCATCCATGCATCCATCCATTCCATCCAATCAACCCATCCATTCCATCCAATCAACCCATCAATCAACCTATTCATCCATTCATTAACCCATCAATCAACCTATTCATCCCTTCATCAACCCATCTATCTATCCAAATCTCAAATCTATCCAAACCTATCCAAATCTATCCAAATCTATCCAAACCCCTTCCTCGGCAATCCCAAGGTTGGAGTTTGCTCATTGCTTCTCGGGGCTTGCTGCTCAGAACCTTCAGTTCATTCCACTACTCGCCCAATCCAAGAACGGAGAATGTACAGTGGAGCAGAACGTGGCAAGGTACATTCACCATTTTCACATTGGCGACCAGGGGAATGGGGTTCCCACCATTCAAATGCTTAAGGCATTTGACAGGGGAAAAAAAAAGAAGGAAACAAGATTCAGGCATGTATAACTGAACACGTGTGCCTCTCATCCGTGCACGTCCCATTTTTTTCCCCTCTCTTTTGTTCGATGATCATTCGGTAGCACAAGGCACAAGGAGGAGACAAGGGAGAGAGGGTGCGAAGTATCCGGGAAAAAGTACCGAGAAAGGGTAAGGAAAGTGCGATAGAGAAGAAAGGACAGACGAGGCGGGTGAGTTATTTGAATTGTTCTGGAATTCGACCAATCAAACAGCAATTTAATTACAGTGAACATTTTTTTCACAAAACACAAGAGATGAGAACGGCTTCAACTCTAGGCGGTGCTTTACTTTGCAAAGTTACGGGGGTGGGGGTTGGGGGTGGGGGTGGGGGTGCGGGAGGTGGAGGTGGAGGGTTGTGAGAAGAATCCTCCTCACTCGTCCTCCACAGTCCCAACACAACCCTCCATCCAGACATCCAGATGGACTTAGGCAACCCTATCATAAGCACTTCAACCAATTGAAGGCATTTCAATTTCTTTTTTCGGGTACAAAACTCTCTCTCTCTCTCTCTCTCTCTCTCTCTCTCTCTCTCTCTCTCTCTCTCTCTCTACACTCTCTCTCTCTCTCGCTTTATTAAAAGTGTACACTTTTCTCTCTCTCTCTCAGTAAAAGTGTACACTTCAGCTAAATCTGTTCGCAAGGATTTACAGGCTCAATTACTGAAACGAGAGAGAGAGAGAGAGAGAGAGAGAGAGAGAGAGAGAGAGAGAGAGAGAGATGAGTGTTGAAAGGAAGTCTCACCTCGGTCGTCATCTGAGAGACAGCCATCTGCACAGCTGGAAGAGCACCGCCAGGCCCCAGCATCGCTGTTGCAGACACCAATCCATCGGGCGCAGAAAGCAGCAGCACGGCTGCCCATTCGTTCTCACCGTTGTCTTCCCCTCCCCCTCCCCCCCCCCCTCCCCCTCCCCCTCTCGTTCCGCCAGTACCTCTGACGACGCTCTCTCCCGCCGGCGGCCGGCCATGAGCGAGCAAGCCCGTCACCGCTATGCCGTGAAGCGCACAGGGCTTTGGCAGCACTGCGCACAAATGAGGGATCATATCATCGTCACGATTCCACAAGCCGTCACTGTACAAATGAGGGGCCTTTTTCCGGCTTCTGCTTGCCCCCGCCATCTTTTCTCCTTCGTCCTCCCCCGACGACAACGACTCTCTCTCTCCCTGCTCGTCCGTGCGCCTCTGCACGTGCCCGTACCCGCTCACTGCCACAACGGCCACCGTGGCCACGGCCAGTCCTAGGGCCTTTCTCGCTGATTCCACGGCTGTGGAGATGGCAAATTTCAGCGATGTCCCTGCCGAGTATCCATCTCCAATACGCAAATTGCCCTGCATTTTCCCGCCAGTTCCCATATCGTCGTCATTTTCTACATAATGGCCAAGATTAGCAGCCATCGCCATCGCCGGTTCTTGGGACAAGCTCGTGCCTGCCGCCATAGCCACGTCCCCCCTTCCGTCCTCCCTGTGCCGGCGGCGGGTCCGGACGCCGCCCACTCCTCCTCCTCCTCCTCCTACACCTCCTCCTCTTCCTAGAGGAATCTCTCCCTCTCGGCCAAACCGCACTCTCCTCCCCATTACCCCACCGCGTTGAGACGACGAAGACGAAGCAGCACCCAGGACATACCCTGCCGCTGCCGCGGCGCCAACTCCCATCATCGTTCCCGCCAGAACTAGCCCTTGAAGAGGGGACACCGCCTCAATCACGCGCGACCAGTACGATCGCTCTGCAGCAGCACTTGCACCCACCGTTGCAACGCTTCTCCCATCTCCTTTTCTTCCTCCTCCTCCTCCTCCTCCTCCTCCTGCTGCTGCTGCTGCTCCTTCCCTCTCTCCCTGCCTTGCTGTTGAGGGAGTAGAAGCTCTTGCACCTCGCCACGAAGCGCCTTCCCCGCCGCTAGTCACCTCTTTGCGGAAAGGAATCAGCACAGTCTGACCTACCTTGATAGGGTCATCGAGAGTCATTCTGTTCACCTTCATTATCTCGGCTATGCTTACGCCGTACCTCTCTGAGATCTCGCTGAGGTAATCGCCGGGCTCCACCTGGTGGCGCGCATACACTACGTACCCGCTATTGCTATTGCTCCCCCCGCTACTGGCCGTACCCGCGGTGCCCGCCTTCGGCGCCGTACCGGACTGCTTGAAGGGGACCACGATCTGCTGGCCAACCCGCAGCCGCTCTAGATTGACACCAGGATTGAGTGACAGGAGGGATTGCACGGGGACGCCCCGTGCTGCTGCGATCGACTCCACGACATCCCCTCCCCTAACCTTGTAGAGCTCCGTGTGGCGTGGAAGGCCCGATACGCCGCCGCTACCGGCAGGGCTCGCTTGGCGCGCTGCAGCTCCATCGGCTTGGCATTGTTGTTGTTGTTGTTGTTGCTGCGCCGGCGCCGGCGGCGGCGGCTTTTGCTGTCGGCCCCGCTGGCCAACAAGAGAGAACCAGCCTCTGGCTATGGCGCCCCTGCCGTCGCGGGGTTCTCTGAGGAGGGGCTGCGCACCCTTAGTAGGCGGAGCGCCGCGGGGAGCAGGCGGACAGCTTGGCTGCGGGCAAGTCGGCTCCTTAAGCCGTGCTGCTGGAGGAGGAGAACACACGGGAGGGGCGGCGGGGGGAGCGCACATCTTTCCCGCCGCGCTCGCCGGCGTTGCTGCGCGTTGCGTTCCCATTGGTGCACGAGAGCGGGAGGGGGGGGGAGCAGAGCAGGTACCACCTGCCCCGGCCACCGCGGACTTCGCTGCGTCTGCTCCCCCCGCCCCGACTGCCGCCCCTGCCATTCGAAGAGGGTACGGCGGAGAGGAAGCGCAGATCTCCGCCGCATCCGACGATGACTTCGCCACAGCTTTACCGCCCGCCGGGGGAGGACAGATTCCGCCTGCGCTGCTGTACTGCGCTGCTGTGCCTTCGACTCTTACAGCGGGATCCCGCTCGTCTGCGCCTCTACGCGGAGGAGCACACACCGAGGGAGAAGAAGACGGCGAGGAAGGGGATGAGGAGGAGGACACAGAAAAGGAGGGTGGGGGGGGACAAGTTCGGGGAACTTCGCCGCCTGTCGCGCCCCCTGATACTGAAAGTGGGGAACGAGAGCGCGAAGGGGTGGAGGTGGTGGAGCGGGTGGAGGTGGTGGAGGCGGTGGAGGCGGTGGAGGACGCCACGTCAGCAGAACGAGAGATCTTGGGAATGATGAGCTTCTGCTTCGGCCTGACGTTATCTAGATCCACGCCGGGATTGAGGCGCCGCAATTCGTCCATCGGGACACCCAAGTCCATCGCGACAGAAGACACCCAATCGCCTCTTCGCATCACATACAAGTCCGTCTCCTCGATCGGGGACTCGACGCTATCTCCCTTCGCCTCCCTCCTCTCCTCCTCTATCTCCGTCGACTTTGATTGGACCGCTCCGCCGCCAACCTCCAGTTGCGCCGTTCCCGTCCTAGTCGCCGCCTTCTTCGTCCATAAGGCCCCAAATGGCCATTGGCCGCCAGTAGCAAAACCGGCCCTCTTCTCCTCCTTCTCCATCCTCTCTTTTTCTCCTCCTCCTCCTCCTCCTCCTGCTGCTGCTGCTGCTGCTACCGTTCCCACTCCGCTCTTCAGCGATTTCCTGCGCTCATCAGATCGTACGGCGGCACATAACTTTCCCCCTGTGCCATCGCTCCCGCCCATCACTTCTGTCGCGGTCGACGCTGCTGTCGAACCACTAACACACGTTGGCGCTCCGTAGCCTCCACCTCCTCCTCTCTCCTCTTCCTTCTTCATCGCCTTTAGCCACGTCACTGCTCGTTCGGTTTTCGGGATGACTATCTCTTGACCTGCGTCCACGGTATCCAGATCGACGGTCGGATTAAGCTTTCGGATGTCCTCGACATCGACGCCGCACGCCGCCGCCACATCGCTCACCCAATCGCCGGGCTTAATGACGTACACCTCCGTGGCGGACTGGTAGGTGGTGCTGCGCGGGAGGGCATTCCCGGCGGCAGCGGCGGAGGAGGGGGTGGACGAGGAGGAGGAGAAACCGGCGGAGCCAGCCTTGCGTCGGCCCATCCTTACCGCTGCCGCACGACACGTACCACCTGCCGCAAGCCGCCGCCGCCGCCGTCGTCGCACAGTCTCGATGTACTCGCCGCCGCCGCCACCTCCGCCGCCGCCGCACGAGTCTCTTCTTCTTCTTCTTCTGCAAATTTCGGTTGGCGTCATTCCGGTCCGGATCCCGACACAACGAGAGGGAAAAGGCGGGAAAAAGCTGGTCGACAACGCGCAAGAGTCTTCTTCCCGCCAGAAGTCCAGCGCAGGCGAAGAATGACCACGTGTCAGTCGGGTAGCACAACGACTAGCCAGAGCGAAAGCAGAAGGCGCCGGGCCTCCTAGTAGTGCGGTGGCCGCCCATCCTCCTCCTGCTGACGCGGAGGAAGGGCAAGGCGAAGTAGTAATCGATGGTAACCCGACTCTCCATCTCTGGAAATCTGCCACGTGGCGGCGTAATTGAACAGGGGGGAGGAGAGGTGACGTGTACGTGTACCCGATGCTGCCATACGGACTGGCTGGCCAACGTGTTAACGACCGCAGATTGCAAATGCCACCCGCGTTGGACAAGCAGACGGAGATCATCTTGGCACTACTACTTGTTCTTCAAGTATTGCGGTATTATTAGAATCTGTGAGAGAGAAGAGAGAGAGAGAGAGAAGAGAGAGAGAGAGAAAGGAAGACACCCTCCTCCCTCCCTGATAAATGAGAACCTAAAATTAGTCGATCGCGGTCAATGAGTCACATCGACGCACATCCAAGAACGTACGCCTAACGAAGAGAATCTTTTCCGCACAAGACATGAATGAGAGATACTATTGCAGAGGCAAATACGGATCCGACAGCTTTTTCTGATAATCAGCAAGTAATACGACAAGTTGACAACAACAAAAAAGAGGAAAACACTGGTCGGCCCTTTTCCTGCAGTGAGCGACCGAACGAAGGGAGCCCCGCGGAGGCGGGTTTTCTTTCTATATCTTCTATCTATTTACCTCTCATCCACTCTTCTCTCTCTCTCTCTCTCTCTCTCTCTCTCTCTCTCTCTCTCTCTCTCTCTCTCTCTCTCTCACACACACACACACACACACACACACTCTACACACACACA